ATTTGATCTACTATAATTAGTTCAAGGGAGTCACATTAGAATATATTATTAAAATTGGGGACAATGGCGAGAGTTTGTATATCAGATAAACATCGGCTCCTCGTGTTTTAACGTGCTTAAAAGACGACCCATCATATGAGTTCATTGGCGAAGTAATTTTAAAATAAACATTGTCTAAGCCGAGAAAATCGAAGCTGAAGTTTATGTAGCCTGCTCACAGGCTCTATTACTTGCGAGCAGGCTAAAGTTTATGTAGATGAGGACAATTTACAAATCTATTATCCGACGATTTACATACATTGATTAAACATTCATTTCTTTCGAATTTCCTTCATGAATTATTAATACTGTATTTTGTGTCCAGCATTCGCAAATGTATTTGTTCTCTGCTGTCGAAAATTCACTGCTGGCGAGCAACGATGCAAATCAATACAAGTTTTGATATATTTCAGATTTGACAGTTTTTGGTCAACGAGCATGGCCAGATAACGAAATTGGATATACGCATTGTCATTGGCCAATACCCCATCACGTGTTCGGCCGTTTCACTCCCCCCTTTATTTTTTATTATTTCTCCGCCTTATTTTAAATTTCGGATCTTTCTCGGTCGCCCTTCGGAGTATCATCATGTAACAAATTAATGTCAAAGATGAACATAAATTATTGCGCCTGCGATAAGCTAATACCGCTTTCAACATTCAAAATGGCGGCCGATGAAAATTGAAAACATTTACATGTAATTAAAAGGTTAGTATAAATTTACACAAATATTTCTGGCGTGCTCCCTTGATTACAGGTCATCAGAAATTGTCCTTATTGGGGATTCCATCATTAAACATATTGACCCAAAAAAGCTTGCAAAGAGGAAAGTGAGCAAATACACGTATCCGGGAAAATCTGCAGAAGACATCGAAGCAGAACTTAGAACAATCAAAGTCAATTCGACGCCCTCGCACATAATTATTCACGCTGGGACAAATAATATACCAGCTGATTCAGCTGAGGTATGTGTGGGGAAAATTGAAAGCCTTGTTCTTAAGAACAAATCCAAATTTCCAGATTCAAAAATTGGAGTATCGGGAATCACGATGAGACAAGATATCGAAGTGGGGCAAAATATCAAACAAGTCAACAAAAAACTAGAGGATTTTTCTAAAAATCATAACGTCTCGTTTATTGACAATTCCAGCATCAACAACACATGTTTGAATGGCAGTAGTCAGGTCTCTTAGGGTCTTGATCGTTACAGAGCTGACAAAAGCACCAAACTTGGCATAGTTGTAGCTTATGGTAGTACTATCAATGTTAGAGGGGGAGCCCAACGTAAATATTCCATTGAGGGGAAATACGGAGGATTTACTTTTTTCAAATT